TTTTGTACTTTTAAGGATGATTGATTAGGTTGTATAGCCAAGATAGAGGTTTGGTTAGATTTAACAGGTGATGGTGAGAGTGACTTTTTCAATGAAGAATTAAGATTAAAGTTATTAACTGGTTCAGCCTCAATACCTGATCCACATGCTAATGAAACAAGTTTTATTGTAACTTCCACCTCTTTCCCACTTGCAAGAGAGCTCTCATTCAACCAATTCTTAGATCCACCATCTTTTCCTATAGACACAACTTCCATTACTTCTTCTGAAGTATTTTCTTCTACTTCTTTAGCACTAGGATGATCTTCACAGGCTCGAGCAGCATCTGTATCCTTTTGGTTAATCTTAACAAACTCTTAGGTTATCTTATCAACTTCAGGAGAATTTAGGATAGACACAATTTTGTATCCTAGTTCTTCTCTTGAAACCCCCATGCTCTTCTCTGTAACCTTAATTGAATCATCAACATGATTTCTTTTAACCAGCTCCTCAGATAAAACTTCCATACTTCTCTTGACAACTGCTTTCATGAAATTGTCAACTTCCCTTGAGACCTCATTGCTTCTTTTTCTTCTTCTAACTGACTTAATTTCACCATTTTCGTTTTCTTTGATGCAAAAAATTCATTATCTATATTTAGATTACTGCCAGATCCTCCTCCTCTAGTCTTGGTAGGACGAATCTTAGTAGTTTCAATAATTTCTTCAACTTTAAAATGTAGAGCCTTCTTGGCATTGTATGGATCCTTTTTCCTTCGACCTTTCTTCCTCCTTCTCAACTGCTTTTTAAGCATTTCCCAACAGTTTCTTCTTGGCAGGTATAGGAGTATCTAATTATTCATCTTCTTCATCTTGAATAGAGGTGATTTCTTTTCTTTTTCTTTTTCCTCTAAGAACATAAGCATCAAGACACTTATCAGAAAGTTGATCACGTGTTATAGTTATAGCATACTCCCTTTTAGCTTCTTCAAGAAGAAATCTGATGACATCTGGATTATCTTCCTTGGTCAATAATGGATAATCTTCTAGAAAAGCTCTTCTTTTATCTTTCTTGATTCTGATAGGATTGGGAATCATTACAATATCATTCTTCATCCTTTCCTTCATGTGAGCTAAAACGGTTGCAGATAGCACACTTCCGTAAGCATTATCCAAATCTTATGTAGCTCTGAATTCCATCAACATGTTAATCATCTTGCATTGATAGAATAGTCAGAAAGTAACCTTGCATAAGGAACTATCTTTTTTAACTTCTTAGTAGAGTCCTTGAAGGATTCACATAGATGATGAAAACGTAACCAGGAAGATTCAATTGTTGATCGGTAGACAAATACCAAAGAAACATCTTATGATCCCATGAGATTTGATCTGAACTTCCTTCCTGAGGAATTAAGCAACCAATAAGAATTTTGAACAGCAACTTCTGCTTGAGATGCATGTTCTTCACTTTTCCAAAATCGTATTTCTTTTCAAAGAGTTCCTTCTTAATATCCCTGGCATAATCTCCTTCGTCCTTTTTATTGATTATCATCATTCCTTTATTTTCAGCCCCAATTAGCTGAGCAATGTTCTCTTGAGTTATGGAGAAATCTTATTTTCATTCCTTTATTACAACATATCTTATTTCCACACATTTTAACTCCTTTAGACCCATTTTTGTTTTTGATTTCCCTTTCTGTTAGACGATAGGCTTCGATCTAGAGGGGAGTGAATAGATCATAAATTTTACAACCAAAAACTTTTGGCAAAAATATATTTTCAAAATATGGTGCAACGGAAAAACGACCCAGATAGAATCGTCTAACTGAACCTACTATCGAAAAGAAATATACATAAAACAAACCAAACGGAGTGATAATGAACATAAATGTTCAAAAATTATCAAGCTACGAATCAATTAAATGCAATGCTAATTGTAACTCGTATATCCAATGAACCAAAAACACAAACAAAATACACACAAACAATTTATCGAACACTTGATGCGCAATCGATAACAATTGGAAATATAATTTGTTTTGTTGATGTTAAAACCTATCACAATCAAAGTGATTATGATTATATCAACAACAACACTTTTAAAAAATAGTAGAAAAAAATTTCCAATCGAATTGATCAAACAACGACAAATTTGATAAATTGCGTAATAAAAAATAAAAGAGATAAAAAGATGAAGAGATAGATAGAGAGAGAAAAAGAGAGAGAGAGAGAGAGAGAGAGAGAGAGAGAGAGAGAGAGAGAGAGAGAGAGAGAGAGAGAGAGAGAGAGAGACCAAGATTTGTTTAGGAAGTATCCCAATCGGCCTCATTATGGGTATGTCTACCCAAAATTGAATTGAGATAGTGTTACTAACCTTTTATTTGCAAAAATGTTTATACAAGAGATGAATAATGCGAACCCCAAAAACCCTATTGTTTTGTGTTGATTCTTCCACCTCCAAACCCTTGACCAAATCTTGATCAAGTGACCAACAATGTGGCTACAATCCTCCAATTATCTCGAGCACACGACTTATTGAAACCCAAGATTTTCGAACACAAATCATCGTCTCGCGCTACTCCTTTGCAAGAAAAACACCTTGTCCCAAGGCTTTCACTCAGTTGAATATGTGTTGACGTGATCTCGTCCAAAACCTTCAAATCAACCTAATCTTGAAGGAAAACCCCGCCTTGGTTTTCTCATTTGAAACATACAAAGCCACCAACCCAATATTCTCGATTACACCAAACCTAATTGGACGTTATCAACGCTAATCTAGTTGGAATGCTTGGATATCATTTAGGTCAAGTTGAAGCCCTTGGAAGGCACCCTATAATAAGACATATGTTGAGCTTCCAAGGATAATTAATACACGATTTATATCCCAATCATCATATTGAATCTTGATGACTATGGAATCATTGTTGTGAGGCAGAATGACAATGTCGTCTTTATTAGAGAAGGTGATTTTGGACTCTGACTCTCTCCATAAGGTTTTTGTGATGTTATTGGTATGACATTCGTCGTCAAAACATGCTTGGAATATTTCCTCTGGGAGGAATTAGACTCTCTTTTTCCAGCGAAACCTCAGACAATGGTGTAGACACGTGATATTGGATCTTTGTTATTGCATCCTTCAGGGAAAAATGGTGGCCTGGTGAGAAAAAAAGGTGAGTAATGATGAGCGGGACCCGAGTCAGTTTTATCAGGCCCCACAATGGACATCAATTGTACAGGCTAAAAGTACAATATGTGACAAATCTCTAATGTATTGAACTGTCGGAGGTTTTATAAGGTTGTTTTGGTGTTAGAGTAAGTTCACGCAGAGATGGTGAATAGCTATGTATGCAGGGTTTTGCGTAATTAATTTGATCTCTTTTCAACCTTAGGGTTGCGGTATTTCTAAAAAATTCCTGAACATAAACCTTAGACTCCAAAAAAGTAATAATCGCTCTCAAGAGTGTGAGAAATGAAAAGTCAACTTCCATATTATTCAAAAAGATGTGATCTTTTCTTTTACTCACTCTCTCGGAACACATCACTTTCCAAATTCTCATAAATCCAAAACACCAGCGACATAATCAAAAATATATAAATTTTTATTAATTTCCTTTTCTTTTTTTGTTAAGATTACTCATTAGTATTTTAACCTACACTTTTTTTTAACCTACAATTTATTGATGAATTCTTCTACCAACTTTTATTACATTAACAACTTTTATTCATACATAAATGTTTTTTATGAAGAAAAAAAATAAGATGAACATTTCGGTAACCTTCAATTTAATTAGGTATCAGTATCTTTAATCAATCAAAATCTATAATTCAATATCATGTCATTTATTTATTTATTTTAAAATAACTTAAAATTTTATCATTTATACTAAAAGTACCGATATCTAACTTAAATTTATGGATATCTAAGAATTTATCAAAAAACCAATGATTCAGTTTTAAATTAAATGAATATAACTATTCTTCATATCTTAAATTAATTTTTTAATTTATCAATTTCACATATTAAAGAAAACCATAATTAAAGTGAACAATAATATTTTTACTAAAACACTTTTGTTATAAATTTAATATCTTTTTTTAATCTCTATGATAGTCTCGCAATTCATTTTTATCCATAAATTTATAAAAGATTTATATTGATTTCTTAATTCTTTAAAATATATTATTTAATTATTTTTATCTAATTAACCATGAATTTGATGATTAATTTTGATTTTTTATTGTTAATTAGAAAAAATGATTAATATAATATATTTTAATAAATTAAAATACTAACATAAATATTTTTTTAAATTAAAAGATCAAAATGAATCATGAAGTCAACTTAGGAGATTAAGAACATTAAGCATTATTATATATTAGTGTGTTCACAATTATCATAAATAGAATGAAAGACATTGAATTGAATATGATGCAATAATATTAATTAAATGATATAATTAAAAAAATTAATTTTATTAAAAATTAAATTTTTACAAAATAGGTCCAATATTTAGAGATAGATGGAGTAATGATTCCTTAACGAGGTAGAGTGAGTTATAAGTGTTTGAAAAATTAAACTAGTATAGTGCTATCAAAACATAAATTAGTAATTCATTAGTATTGAAGCTATATCATAATCTAATTAAATTACAACATAATTAAACACACATCACGGACTTTTATAGCCTAAGGTAAGGCATACATAGACCCAATATGTAGACCATCAAAAAGTCCATGTTGATTAATTATGATTCATAATAATAACCTAAAATGTCAACTTTAATCAAGCATTACTATAGGCTTGTAATTCACATAGACTTGTTGTACATAGAGATAGTGCCTAATTAACACGTTTCAATTAGGTATTGAAGTTATTAGCCACAAATGCTATTATTAGAAAAAAGATTAGTACACAATAATTAAACTGCTACACACATTAATTACCCTCTCACAAAGGAAAAGGTTTGATAGAGAAAATTATAAAATAAATTAAGCAAGAAATTAAAATTAATTTTGTCAAGTTCATTGATAAGCCAACTCTTGTTGAACTGTCCTTAATAGTTGATTCACAGCAGCCGCAATTTCATCCACACTATTCAGCTGACTCCCCTCCTCTACCTGCTCCAATCAACCCATAAAAAACTAATTAAGATTAAGTTACTACTAATTAGTAATTACTATTACTAATCATCTAATTAAAATTAATTAAATGGAGATCCCAAACGAACCTTGACGCTGACTGAGTAAAGAACCATTGGATCAAGAGTTGTGACATTAAGATGAAGAATGGTGAGCCTAAGATTTTGTAACCCAAGAACAATTTTCATAAACTGTCCTGTTTGTTTCTTGGAAAGTATTTTGATGTTGGCATGAGAATCTACCATGGTGACTTCAATGTCTGCTACAGCACATTGTTTTTGTTCCATAGTAAGGTTGTTGTTATTGTTGCTGTGAGTTGTGTACTGAGGAAAAGTGAAAAACTCAGAAAAAGGTGGTCCATTTAAGGATATGTTTTCCTTCGTTTTCTTCTGGCCCCCCATCGACTGTAAAAGTTGTTCTAACTCTTTTACAAAGTTTATGGCTCCCCCAATAATTGAAGCTTGGTCACCCTGTTTTTCAAATATACACCGAAATAATTACCATAACTCTTTAAAAACGTTCTGAAATTGACGTGTAAAACAGATTATCGCAGATTAAAATATATTAGTGTTAAACTTTAAATAAATAGAATATTATAGAAATATTGTTTTTTTTATAAAGGAAATTAATTAGAAAAAAATAGATTAATTAATTAATAAATTAAATTGTGATTGAATTGAAACTGACCCTTTGAACATAAGAAGAAGGCATCAAAGATCGAAGCACGTTCAAGTACTCATTCATTTGTTTCCTACGATTTCTTTCAACAGTGATATGAGTCATCCTCTGGTTTTCAATTTCCTCTTTGTTCTTCGCACTTTTGATACGACGTCGTTTTCTCCGACACGTGGCAGTTTCTGTAGCTGTAGCAGCTTCCGTTGTTGTTGAAGGAGGAGCTTTGATAGTTTGATCAACGGTGCAGATTTCAGGAGAAGAAGAGTGTGTATATTCCCATTGATCTTTAACCGAACAAGAATCCCATTTTGCATGGAGATTTTGTTGTTCTACTACGTTGTTGTTGTTGTTGTTGATGATTCCTAGGAGAACATTCTCTTGTTCTTCCGCTTGTAAAGTACTACAATTACCATAGTCATTACTTAATAAGTTGAAGTAATTATCCTTGTAGCTATAATTGAATGGATCTTGAGGAAAAACAACGGTTTCAAGTGCCATTAAAACTAAAGAAGAGAGGAAAAAAAAGAACATAAAAGTGTAGAGAAAACAAAGTGACCCTTTTTATTATGGTCTTGTTGTGAAGAAAGGTTTGAGGGTTTTATAAATAGGATTGTATCAAAGTTTCAATCAAACACACACAAAGACAAAAAGCTACAGCCTATTGCACGTGAGGTTTCATTGTATTTGTAGACCAATTTCTTGACCACACCTAAAGAGAAATGAAACATACACCAATGTATAGAGATAGCTGACAGATAGATTCTCTTACCACTTTATTCATTCCTTAATACTTTCTAATAATTATACTTATAATTAAATTAGTTTTTATTCAATGCTTTCAAAGAGTGATGTTTTTTTTAATTGTTTTTAAGGTAAGTGTTCACCTTTGTTTAACCTTGATTTATCTTAATGGAGCAAATTTTTTAGATTCACAAGATTCTTATTTCCTTGGTTTAAACTAGGATGGTAGTTTTTTTATTGGAAGACTATTTCATTAAAGGAAATGAGCAGAAACATCACGGAATTTCTAAATTTGATAGACAAACCACATCAAGTTTTAGTTCATACCCTGTAACCAATTTCCATCAAATGATAAGCAATCTGGTTTTGAGACCTGTTATGAGGCTGTTTGTATTAACTTTAAAAAAATGATTTTTTATTTTTATTTTTAAAAATGGATTTTGTAAAACCGTTTTTTAAAATATTACAAGTTTTTTATATTTGTTTTTTATAAATTGCAAGAGTAATTTTGATATCATATAACAATAATATATATTATTAAAGATCAAAATATAGTTAAAATCATAATTTTTTATAAAAAAAATGTATCTCAAAAATTATTTTTATGAAAAACTATTTGAAATAGTTTCAAAATTAAGTGATTTTTTTTTAAATTTTTCAATAAAATGTTGTTATCTCTAAAATCACATTTTATGAATAACTATTCAAGTCAAATTTTCATTTGAAATTTTTATGAAAAGTTTCTTTGTAAATTTTTTTCCACAAAATTATGTTACACTATAAAAATCATTTAAAAAAAACCAAAACAAATGGGCCCTAACAAACATGACAACTATATCAACAAGCTTTTTAAAAAGAGACCAACAATCTACCATTATTGATTCTAAAACAACATTAAAAGTAAAACGGCACAAACAATCAACCATAGATAAATCATACGATTGAAGCACAACGCGATCCATCTTCAAATCTACCGTCATCTACAGGCCTCATCGGATAACTAAAGCTTCAGCTATAGCAGAAAAAGTTACCATTGTTTCTTTTTTGGTAGCTCATAGAATAATATATTTATCATGTGTCATCATGGTACATCCTATTGCTATGGTATCATCTTCAAAACAACCTGCATCTACCTGTATCAGATTGACTCCTCTGTATCTAGGTCCAACATCACCCATCATGATAGTTTTTTTTTCAACTTTCAGACTAGGGTTGGAAGCATTAAAGTCCTAAACCCACTCAACAACACTCTCAGTAACCACTTGTAGGATAAAAGCCTCATAGTTGAAGATCCAATTGTTCATTGCAGACCAATTTTTACGTAGAGTAACACATATCAATTAAGTGCCACAATGATCACTCGCCATCAGTTTGCTATCCAACCATTCGTGCAAATTAGTAGAGGGAGATAAATGCAATCAAGGGGGCGGAAGAAAACCATACCATTTTGGTGATGACAAAATTCAGGAATAGGTGGTGGATTATTTCATTGTTATTCTGACAAAGAGGGCACTCAGGAGAGGACTTAATTCCTTTCTTCATCATATTTTCTCTAATGGGGGAATGTTCTTCTTCAGACGTGACACAAAGATCCAAATTCTGTTATGTATAGGGCCACCCAATTTTTCTTCCACGGCTTTTGCTGGTCATGGCACGAGGGCCCTGGATTAGCAACTTGCGTCTTACTCCCTAGCATATGGTAGGCAATTTTCACTGAATATTCTCCATCTCTCAGTATGCCAAATCATCTTATCATCTAGTTTCCTCCAGGAGAATGATATCCAGTGATCTAGGAGCCTACATTGGGGTCGGAATAAGAATCAATCGAGTCCCTTTTCCAGCAACAAAGGTTTTGATCAATGAGAAAGTAAACAAAAGCCTTTTCTCCAAGGTCTCGAGCTTGACCATGAATTTTAGAACCTGCTCTATTAGGTAACCAGTTATTCTGCCAAACTTTCACTGAATGTCCGATCCTCCATCTCGAGTCTTCCATCACAAGATCTCTAGAGCTTAAGATGGTTCTCCACGCATAACTAAGTGTATAACTTAACTTAGCTTCACAGATACTGATCTAAGGGTAGTATTTGATCTTTAAGACTCACTTTAACGATGATGATCCCCTAGTCAATAGCCTCCCGAAGTGTTTCCCTAGCAGACTAAGATTAAAGTCGATTACACCTCGAAATCCCATGTCACCCACACCTTTTTCCTGTGATAACTTTTCCCAACTCAACCAATGAGTTTTCCGATCCTCATTAGAGGAGCCCCACCAGAATCAAGTCAATAAGGTTTCAATTTCCTTAAAACAACCCTCATGAAGCCTATAATAGCTCATCACATATGTGGCTATGGCTTGAGCAACGGATTTGATCAGAACTTCTTTTCCAGCCCTTGACAAAAATTTCTCCTTCTAGCCCTTCACTTATCCCATATCCAACCTAAAACTCAAACCTATTATGCCTTAACCTTACAATTACGAAATATTTTCTCTTACTCACACTTAAGTTTTCAGTTTCAACCTTTTCAAACCTCTCCTAATAGTATTGTGTATTCTTCTCATCTTCTTTATCATGTACGTCTCACATGTTCTACACTAATCTCTCATCTTATATATTCTTTTTTTTCATCTTCTCATTTTTATGTTACTATTCTCTCTTCTAATTATGTTTTTATCGTATGTTTACTCTCTAATCTCACATCTCTTCTATTCTTTCTTTTTCATCTTCTCCGATCTCTCTTCTCCTCTATTTTTTTATGTTTTATTATAATGTTTTTGATATTGTTTTATGCTACTATTTTATTTCCACTTTTGTTCAAACTAATTTTTGTATATTAAATGAGAAGTTTTTGTCTAAATATGACGAGTTTTGTTGTTATTTGGTAATGTAAGAATGACTAAACACAAAGTTATGTTATTCTCTATAGGTGTATGTATGGCTTAATAAAAATCTTGTAAAAACCCGAACCAACCCAAACCGCATTGGTTTGGTTTGGTTTTTTTTTAAAAGTCAACGGAATCAAATCGAACCGCATGCTTTTTTCTCTTATGGTTCAGATGATTTTTAGCATCAAAACCGCACCGCAAACATCCCTACCAGCTCCGACACCGGCATCCTGCCACACCGACTTTGCCGCTAGCATCATGCCACACCAACTCCATCAGGAGCAACAATTTGCATTATGCCCCCAGCATCCTGCCACGCCGACTCCATCGTGAGCATCACTTTTGCATTATGATGCATTCGTCGACTTCCTAATAAATTTCTAGTTTCTACAATTTCAAAATATATTTTCTTTTTCTTTATCATTTAAGGCTTTAAAGTAGTGTTCATGGTTCATGAACTCTATTGAAGCGAACCACATTTATGGTTTGGTTCAGTTTGCAAAAACGATTTCAATAAAAATTCAGTTAATTGATAAAATGCTTTCAATTCAATTTAAAACTAGTTTAGAACTAGTTTATATTTATAAACTAATTTATAATCCGTTTACAGTTTTAAACCAATTATATATTTTGAACTCTTTTAAAATCAAATTTTATAACTTCATAAAAATTTAAATTTTTTTATATTAAAAAATTTTTTTCAAAATATTTATTTTTAAAAAATTATATATATATATATATATATATATATATATATATATATATATATATATATATATATATATATATATATATATATATATATATATATATATATATATATATATATATATATATATATATTTATTTATTTATTTTTATTTTCATATTTTGTATTTTCAAAAAAAAAAATTTCTTGTTTTTACGAAAAAAACTTGATATTTTTCATATTTTCGAAAAAAAACTGGTTTTTGACATTTCCAAAAAAAATTGATTTTTTCGTATTTTTGAAAAAAACTCAATTTTTCGCGTTTCTAAAAAAATACTATTTTTCGTATTTTTGGAAAAAATTGATTTTTTTTTGTATTTCCAAAAAAATCGAATTACTATATTTTTGAAAAAAACTCGATTTTTTCGAATTTTTGAAAAAACTCGACTTTTTCTTATTTTTGAAAAACTCGAGTTTTTCATATTTTCGAAAAAACTTGAATTTTTCATATTTCTGAAAAATTGGACTTTTTCATATTTTCGAAAAACCTGACTTTTTCATATTTTTGAAAAAAAAACTCGACTTTTTCATATTTTCGAAAAAACTCGACTTTTTCATATTTTCGAAAAAAACTCAACTTTTTCATATTTTCGAAAAAACTAGACTTTTTCATATATCCGAAAAAACTTTACTTTTTCATATTTCTGAAAAAATCGACTTTTTCATATTTTCGAAAAAAAAATCGACTTTTTTATATTTCTGAAAAAACTCGGCTTTTTCATATTTCTGAAAAAACTCGACTTTTTCATATTTTCGGTAAAACTCGACTTTTTCATATTTCTGAAAAACTTGACTTTTTCATATTTCCAAAAAACTCGACTTTTTCATATTTTCGAAAAAAAACTCAACTTTTTCATTATTTCGAAAAAACTTTAGTTTTTCATATTTTTGAAAAATCGACTTTTTCATATTTCTGAAAAAAATCGACTTTTTCATATTTCTGAAAAAACTCGATTTTTTCATATTTCCGAAAAAACTTGAAATTTTCATGTTTCCAAAAAAACTCGACTTTTTCATATTTTCGGAAAACCCGACTTTTTCATATATCTGAAAAACTTGACTTTTTCATATTTCTAAAAAACTCAACTTTTTCATATTTCTTGAAAAAAAACTCGACTTTTTCAT